CCCATTTAATGCGTTCCAATGGGGAAATTACCTCGTCATCCAGCGAAGAACAGCCATAGGGAAGCCATTTTCCGAGTACCGATCAGCTGTTAAAATGGCTGTCCTGTGAAGCATGGGTCCGGAAAACACAGGGCAGCCATTTTAAGAACGCAACGATCAGCTGGAAAAAATCATCGTCTTGCCAACAAACGGTTCACGAAACACGGACCTAATCGTCATAAAAAATCGTCAAAAATCCCCCATAGGAAACATCATTTTAAAAAGTCATCGTCCAGCAGATCCGTCATTTAGCGGGGTCGTCATTATGCAGGGTACCACTGTATGTGGCTCGCACGCAGTGCAACAGTCACATGTACCCGAACATCACTGAAGGAAGCATTCAATCAACAGCAATGTTTTTGCTGTCGATGGCATCCTCAATGCTGTGCATGCAGAGTTGTGCAACAGGATTTCAGTTAGAGTATAAATAGGTGTGATTAATCTAGTTAATTGTGATACATAATTAGTCAAGTATAATTGCTAACTTTTATTATCAAGATATTTTTTATTCTCAGCAGCAGGGGATGAGTGAGAGAGATTCTAGCAATTCTGACAGAAGCCCTTCTCAGCTATTTTGAGGGCTTAAGACAAAGGGGATAAGACAATGACCAGCCATTAATGGCTCTCCCCTTTTGCTCTGCAACATCTTCTGCTTTTTTTAAACAGGGGAAGATAAATAAAATAAAAATAATTAATTAAACAACAGTGTTGAATAACGTTGCATAAGCTATTTGTACTAACGCTGAAAGGTTACTATAGGTTTCTCATTGAGTATTTGCTTTCTCTTCTCATAGTGTCTACTCATGTCTTCTGATGCTTCTTTTCCTTAGGAAAATGCATAAACATTTCTGCCACTGTGATTTTTATTATGCTCTTACACCATGACACTATGCATAGTGTGCACCCTGCAGATTTTGTAACATTGCAATTGTTTTAGACCATATTATGCAGGAAACTTCACCCTTCATTTTCACCAACTAGGCCTCAAAGGTAGGGTTACCAGACGTCCGGCAAAAGGAGGAGATGTCCTACTTTTGAGGAGCATGTCTTCCGTCCGGCAGGCAAAACTAAAAAACTCCAAAATGTCCAGCTTTTGTATCTCCACCCCCAACCCCACCCCTCCCTCTCCCCCACCCCCTGCAGCCCAACCGCTCCCTATTACTTCCTTGGTTGAGGCCCTTGTAAATCCTCCGGTTCTTTCAGAGAGATCAGATCGGAGATAAGGTGGCTTGATTGTTTAGGGCTGCAGCCCTGGGCAATCAATCCCAGGCTTGTGGATGAGAGATGGATGGATGGAAACCTGTACAGGAGTGAAGTGAGTGCACTTGCTTGCCTGCTGGAGGGGAGGCTGTTCTGGGATTTGGGGTGGTGGTGGTTCAAAGCCAGGGAAATAGGGGTCAGTCCGGTCCCTCCTTCCTAAAGCCAGGGAATAGGAGGCACTTTTATCCCACCTTCTGCCCTGACCACGAACTCTGGGCATGTGCAGAATGTGTTTCCAGGTCCAGGAGCATATGCAGAGT